GAATGAGAATTGTCAAGTATAAATACGCGTACGTATGAAAGAAACCGCGCGGCTGACTCAAAGGGTGTCGGCATGTTATTGTTTTCTCTCAAGATACCGCTAAGGGTCATCACAGAAGAGAAGCCGCCGCGAACTCGTGATGTCACTGATAAATGTAAACCATTTATATCGCCCTATGTTCGATAAAATTCTTAATTGTCTATGAGTCTATTTTTCGAAAGTCCTTGCTTAATTACTGCGCATGTTTGGAGTTTTTAACGATCATTTTTGTTGTAAGGAAGAAACCTTATATTGATTTATGTCTTCGGTTATTGGTTGTTTCGAAATGAGATGCGTCAATTTTAAAAGCAGTTCCCGTTGAACATCCGACTAATATATGTGATAATGCCTTTGGAACGGTTGCAAATATAAGAATATTACTTGGCAACTTTGTCGTGTTTAGTCGGGCGAACCGCCACCTGATAGCCGAACCATCTCGCTTTCCCGGCAGTGGGTCACGCATGATAGTGACTCAGAATCAGAGGCTGCACTGGAAATAGTAAGTAAAGCTTTTTTGCTTTTTCCATTATATTCGTAATAAATATATTAATCTTCACAAAAAAGTGAAGTTATGATAAGGATTTGCACTGTTGCCGGTGAAAATGGAATTTTTTCTTTCACCTCTTTCATTAAATGGTTTGGACAATATGGTTTATTCTTGATAGGTAATGTTTAAATCTTCTCAGAACTTTACTGATTGATTTGGTGAGTCACATAGATTGAACGATATAGTACTGAAAAGAAATAATCTTTTTATTTACCGATAAATTTGTTTAAATCAATAGTTAATAAAAAGAGGTAAGAAAACAATTATTCAAACTTCATTGGCAATATGGTATTTAAACATGTATACCCGAAATGTGATAGCATCAGTCTAAATAAAAACTGGTGCGTTGTCATCATAATTCGGATTTGTGGAGGTAACATGTATAATCCACAATTAATTGTTGATCAGAATACAAATCTTCCTCCCATCATTTACTCCATGCTGCCTAAAAAAGTTTAAGATTCAACCATGCTTGGTTTTAAAATCGTAGACTATGAAAAAAGAGCTTTCACGATGACCCAAAGAGAAAAATAGGGTAAACATTTTGAAAAAATCCTCTGTGTGCCTATGCCTGGCTTGAGCCATAATGCATGGCCGTCTATATTTATGGAAACTTCCCCCTACCCTAGCCCCCGCTGCGTACAGTCATGGTTCAGTGACAAAGCAATGGCCTCGTAACTGTGAGGCCCCAGGCCCGCCCCCCCCCCCCACTCAGTGTTATTTAGGGTACGCATATGCTCGTTCCCTCTTTTTGAAAGCACCCCCTATCTGAGGACTGCCAACATTTCCGAACCCCCCTTTCGCGGGCTTTTTGCGGGCTTTTCCTGCCTTGGAGACCCCCCTAAATCAGGAAAAATGCTCAATGTACCCCCCTAAATTCGGAATAACTCCTCAGAAGTCCAAAGAGATGAGAGAAAAAAAGGAAAAACACCCCCTTTTTAAAGAAATCTCCGGGTGAAAAGTCAAATACACCCCTTTTTTTACAATTCTCGGGCCGGACTTTGTCGCACGAAAAGTACCCCTTTACCGGACATTTTGGCAACACGCATGCGGTCATTCCGACCTCTGAGTGGGGGGGGGGGGGGGGACGGGGCCCCAGGATCAAAAACGTGTCGATGTGCTATATTTGTGCCCCTTTGTGGGGCATTAATCCTCATTACTGTCATTTATGACTTAAGGGCGTAGGTCCCCTAGTTGATAAGCATAGTAGCATACACATGCTTTAGCAGTCATGCAAAACACACACTCACAAATTATTATTCAATAAAATCTGATTTAAATTTAATTTAAATTATTTCAAAAATAATTCCATAAATTTGGGGAAAACAAAAATATTCCAACTTTAATTATGAGCGACAGTGTACCTGTCATAATAAATGACTTATGTAATCAAACTCTGTAACTAAGTACTTTATCCTCGTAAAGATATATTTTAGATTTAACGAATCAGCAACTACTGCTATTTAGTTTTAGGTGTCATCAATTGTCACTAAACTTAATTACCGATTTTGAGTGAATCAGTTGAGTTTTGTACAGTGGTATTTGAAATGTTGAGAATTAATAGAATAGGTTCAATACACAGGACACAGCCAGGATAATAATGCAGCTGTGTGTGAATTAGGATAGACTACAGTACAAAACTAGTCTACATCAGTCCCGGGATTTGATCAATTTTTCTAGGTTCAAGATATTTTACAATCCCCCTTTTTTAGTTTTCTCAGGAGTCCAAAGAGATGAAAGAAAAAGAAATACACTCCTTTTTTTTTATAGAATTCTCGGGCCGGACTTTGTCGCATGAAAAGCACCCCTTACCGGACATTTAAAGTTGATACTCTAAGCAAATAAATGTCCCTTAATTTGTTACCTACGTCAAGTATATGTTATTTTTAAGTTTTTCAATTACTTAGTACACTGTTAAAACAAGTAATACAATTTTTAATCAAGTTGGTTAAAATTTTAATCAACCACGGATTACCAGGTGAATCACACAATCGTTGGTTAAACTTTAACCAACAGCCTGTTGATTAAAATTTAACCTGTGGTTGATTAAAAATTTTAATCAATTATTGGTTAAAAAAAATTGCTCAATGTTGGTTAAAATGGTGTTGATTAAACTTTAACCATTTGTTGATTAAAACTTTAATCTTTTGTTGGTTATTTATGCTTTGTTCGGGGCTGATTCACATGATGTTGGTTAAACTTACATGGGTCGTTGGTTAACATTGTAACCATTGTAGGTTAATTCTTTGTTGATTCACACGATGTTGGTTAAACTTTAGTGGGTTGTTGGTTACAGTTATAACCACTGTTGGTTAAACTTACGGAGGTTTGGAGGTCTTATCCTCGTGTTTGCAGGTAAGAAATTGTTTAATATGATTATCATCAATGCTAAGATTGTAAGGAAGAAGTGAAATAAGGTTCTTGCTCAAATTAAAAACGCTTTGTGTCCTGGTCCGTAGGTTGTAGCTCAGCCAGTAAGTGTAACGGATGACCTACCCAAATTGCATGCATAAAGACGTTTCACTTTATGATGACATCTTATTTTATATTTAATTGTTTTAAACAATTAGATTTTAAAAATGAGATTATTATTCATGCATGCAATTTGGGCAGGTGATCCGTAATAAGCCTACACTTCTCCTTCTTTAATTGGGTCTGCCTCCTTCACGGTTGAAGATTCTTGCAGACTGATGAGTGTGTGTGTGTGTGTGTGTGTGCTTACGAGAGCCAGGTGCACGGTGCAAGTAAAATGTTACTTATTGGTTGAGCTACGTACAGTAGGGGACACAAATCGGTTTTGATTTGAGCAAGAACCTTATTTCACTTCTTCCTTACAATCTTATAATTGATGATGATCATATTAAAATAATTTCTTACCTGAAAACACGGAGATAAGACCGTCCAAACCCCAATTTCTCAGGTCCTCGCGACAACCTCCATTGTTAATTTTGTCGCACGCGTAAACTGCATGTACTTTATTTGTATGTCGAGCGATCGCTAGCTACGCGCTTCGATATCGTTCCGTTGGGTCACGTGACCAGTACTTTAATCAACATTGATTAAACTTTAACCGGAAGGGGGCTATCATTACTGTCGGAATTTTGTTTTTAATCCATGCTGGGTTACAAATTTTGCCAACGACTTAGACTTAACCAACATAGGTTAAAAGGAATAATTTTGATCTACACTGTTTTTAACCAACGCAAGATTAAAAGTAAATTTTAAACAACACTACATTTTTAACCATTGAGCGTTTTTTAATCAACAATTTTTTAACCCGCAGTTTTTTTAATACTTGTTTTAACAGTGTATATCACACAAAAAATCTGTCTACCCGAAATCTTCAATTGAAATGTCGAAAATATCCGCCTCTCTTTGCATAGAAAATCAGTCACGGCGCTGGTCTATTATTTATGACCTCACGTCCGGGAAAGAGTATATTCACGTACCCGGATGTTCCATAGCAAACATGTGCAGAGTGATACGATTTTCTGCATATTTTTGTTTCAAAGGCTGAAAAGTCTAATAAATTATAATTCTATGTACAATTCTTTACCTTTCCCTAGTACTTCATAGGATTAATATCAATCCCCCTTTTAAAAATTATGACATATACATGCCAACGATGTGCTATTAGTCGATATTTTCACCATGTAATTTTTGTTTTGGTGTTGAAATCGGCCCATGCACAGTTCATTACCATACACTACAGCGATCTCCCGATGGTTTCTTCTTCCTTTTTCCCCATGTCTTTCGCGTTCCTTGGCCCTGAAGATCCTTCATCTACCAATTCTGACACCGGTAGTCAGGAGCAAGTCTTTGTTAGTTGTTTTTCTTAGCTGGCAACGTCGCTTTCATTCTATTGCAATTGCCGATAAACATATAACTAGCGCACGTACGTTCCATCACAAGCAAGCAGCGCCTTGAGCAGCGGCTTGGTCTTACCTCCCGATTCTGCTCGCTTCACGAACGTTCATGCAAGAGCCGCGTCACTCGCCAAAATATTATAGAGGAAGCGCGCTTGCATGATCTCGTTCAAGTTTGATATTTTACAGCATAAAATGTTTAACTGGTACTGTATCCTTTTTTGAGGCAGTCACATGTACACATCTATGATAAGTACTATCATAGTTCTAGACCTATTGGTGTTATTACGGGGGTTAAAAGCTTTCTATTTATGGAATTATCTCAGTATTTGGGATTGTCTTAGAGTACCAACTTTAAACAAGTGATTCATAATGCATGTATGGTGGGAGAAAAGTTGGAATAATTTTTTTTTTAAAAGAGGTATAGCTTTCGTTCCCTGAAAGAACAATTATCTGAGTTTACGTTCCTGTAAATTATCATCACTATATTTTTATCAATTTTAATCATTCTCCACTGCAGATACGTGCATTCCTGTGCCCATTGAAGTATGGCGACCGATTTTGAGCTGACGACCGAATTGCCAGGCTATCCCAGCGTAGATTTTACGTATAGACTGGTAGCGGTTGTCCTTTGTGGTCTCATCTGTTGTGTGGGTGTGTGTGGTAATACATTGGTCCTCGTCGCGATCTCGGCCTCACGGAGGCTACAATCCTATAGCAACCGATTCTTGGGCTTCCTAGCCATAACGGATCTCCTAACCTGCCTCCTCCTGCCTATACAGATTGCTGCTCTGTTAGATGCTAAGTCGAAGTTCTTTCACCTGGCATGCAGCGTTGCAGCAGTGATGGGATACGTTACGCTAGGAGCAAGTGCCTTCACGTTGGTCCTCATTGCTTTTAATCGCTACATCTGCCTCACCCAATCACTGGCCGTCAAAAAGAGGGTGTTTTCGCGTTGCAAGTCGACGGTGATGGCTTCATTTGGAGTCCTCTTTCCTCTCATAACAACTTCGACATTTGTGGTAATCGGAAAAGCTAGAACGGGTCACCTCGGCAGTTTATATTGCACCATCGCGGACGGGCCCTTACTGGATATGGTGGCTGGCTCATTCCTACTCAGTTGTTTAGTTGTGACACTTATCTTGTATCTTCTTATTGCAAAAGTGGTTCGGTCGCACTCCAGGAGGGTACTTCCACCGAATCGGGCATTTCAAGAAAGCGGTAAAAAGTCAGGTATCCGGACGGGGACGACTTCGAACGAGGCCTGCATTCTCGGTCAACAGGACAGACGTAGTCGTAGAAATTATGACTCCAGCAAAGCAGGCTCAAGCAACCAACCGGCAACGCTTTCGGCCACCCTGGGGATGGCGTTGCGCATTAGAGAGCCTGGCACCTCCAATCCAGATAAGATTTTCGTTCCTGCGACAACACAACTGCCAAATCGTAGCATAACAACGAGAGAATCAATCTCTTGCACCCCTAGGTCTGTCAGTGTTTCGACTATCCAAGCTATAAGCACAATCGTACAGGATCAGGAGGGAACCACAAGAAGGCCCAACCAAGGGCGTCTTGTGCCACGCCCAAAACCGTACGTAGCACCTGAACCATTGTTCAAACTTGAGACCGAGGTCGCGAAGAACATGGTCCTGATCGTCCTGGCTTTCATAATCGCAGTAGCCTTCACCTTAATTTGCATCCTCATTCATGTGCATCCCATCTATGATCTCTTTGCATACGTTGTGCTCAGTGCAAACAGCAGTATTAACCCTATCATATATGGCTGGAGGCATCCGCTTCTGAAACGAACCTTCCTTCATATTTTGAGATGGAGGTTGGAGGAAATTGATCAACCAACGAGATGGGTCAGGAGACGTATTTATTGAAGGGACGTTACTGATAACGCATCTGAAGGGATATTGAGACCGTGTATTCTCATCCATTGCTACTCATTTGGGAAAGTTAGTCTTTCCTTTGTGAAATCGACAGTCTAGAAATAACACTTCAAATCAGTCATGTAATACATATTTTATCAGATGTGAAATCAAGAGAAGGATTGCACAAAATCAAATTTCTCCAAGTTAGAAAACAAATTAAAGAATAAGAAGCTGAAGATGAAGACGAGACTGCACGTACTTAATTGCTATGTGTATCCAGTTCTGATGTAGGAATGTGAAGCTTCAACCCTGACATCAGACCTAAGAAAGCGACTGGAAAGTTGTAAAGTTTGGTTCCTGAGAAGGATGCTTAGAATTTCATGGACAGAAAGAGTTTCTAATAATGAGGTATTTGCCATGGTAGGAACATGGCGAAAGCTTCTGAAAAATATATGAGGTCGACAGCATGTTATTCGAAAGAATAGTTTGGAAAATTTTGCACTGACTAGAAGAATAAAGGAGAGGAGGAGTAGGGGTAGAAGGAGGATTCTGTAGATGAGTAGCTTAAAGAATGGGATTTCTTAAAGTGGAATTGATCTCGGGGAGAATAAATTACTTCATACAATATGGGACAGGGAGTTGTGGCATTTCATGGTCGCCAACGACTCAGGACATGGCACGTAAAGAAGAAGAAGAAGCAGATGCGAACATACTGACTCAATTGCAGGAGCATGTGTCTTTTAATTTAAAAAAACAGATGATATGGCGCCATGTAAATTTGAATCACCATTTAAAACCAATCTTGAGGAGTTCTACCCGCAGTCAATCGTCATTTCGAAAAGACGTTTTTAAACATCCTCCTAAATTGTTATCATGTAAACATTAGGAGTTGTGGGAGAGTTGCAGTTGTAGTAGTTGTAGTTGTAGTTTAAATTAATGTCGTTATGTTCATGGAGGGGGGAGGGGGTATGCACCCCCATAATTTTAGATGGGGTAGCGTGTGTAATCCCCCACCCCCATTTTCTACAGGGCCTCCTTGCAAGAAGAAGGGGAAAAAAGGAAGAAAATTGTATGTAATTACCTTGCACTACAGCAATGTATGATAAGCTTTTTAGAGCACTAAAATGCAAATTTTTAGCACTTTTAACACGTTTAGAGAAGTAGAAACAGAGTGGCATTACTTTCAGTTTCAGTTTCAGTTTCAGTTTATTTTCATATTTCTCACATGTTGTATAGTACATCATTACATATAGCATGTTACATTTTGAACTCATTTTAGAATGCGTTTATACATACAAAAAAAAAGAATGATACATAAGACTAAGTTGAATAAGGGAAGAAATATGATGGAGCCTAAAGAGAAAGCAATGCTTGTAGGTCATAGGCTCCGGAAGTTACAACAATGACATAGTCTTGTGTATATTAAGAAAACGTAATTTCATTAAATTGAAACTTATTATGAAGACAAATAAACAATACTCATACACTTAGCAATATTTGTATAACATTTTCACTACCCGTACGCAATGGCAATTCTCATAGGAGCATACCAAGATGTCGGCATCAATTGACAGGGAGTGTCGCTGGCTATGTGCTGGTAAAGTACGATGTTGTAGACAATTTAAGTGTAGCCGCGCTGGCGAACGGACTGGTTGTCAATGACGCCAGCATCTTGGTATGATGGAACAAAAATGAATAGAACATTTATTTATATGTTTTTTTGTTTTGTTTTTTATACACATTTATGTAAAACTAAATATGTTAGCCCGATGACAAGCCGCCATATCCACCTGTAGTAATCACTGGAACTCAACAGCAGGAGCGCGAAGTGCATAACCCGTCGCTGCTAGGTCGAACAGACATTAACAACAAACAAAACATGCACCTCGCTCCCCGGCCATCGAAGCACAATGACATCCCAGCAGGTGAAGACAAGGCCAGTCACCAGGCACAGGGTAACAACAGCAAACTAAAAGAAACATTCAGTTTGAACATCGACAGTAATTATTAACAGTAACATCATGCTTCTTCTACCATTAAAGCGTAATTGCTTAGGAGATGATATTTCAGCTTGTGCTTGAACGAATATAGTGAGGTTGATTCTGTGAATTCAATGGGGAGGTCATTCCAAAGTTTAGGGCCCGTAAAAGTGACATTTTTTTGAGCAAACAGAGTTCGTGTAAGGGGAAGGTGAAATAGGTTACGTTGGCGAGTGGAATAAGAATGGATTGTATTATATTTCGTACGAAGAGTGCACAAATTACAGCAGGTAACTCATTTATAGTTAATTGATACATAAACACTCCTACGCTGTACACATACACATCAGCAATTCGGAGAACTTTGTTTTAAAAAAACAGTTGACTAGTATGGGAAAGGAATCCCGCATGATTTATGTTTCTTATTGCCCGTTTTTGAATAATGAGAAGTTTTTCAAGTTGGGCTTTGGTCCCGTTTCCCCAGGCAAGAATACTTTTTGAATTGTTAACTTCTAAACAACCAGAGAACCGATTTGCTGACAGTATTATAAATAATTTTTTAAACTCCAAATTAGTGACTATGAGAGTAGTATCTGTGTACTAAGTATAATTCAAATGTAGATAGAGAGAAATTACTACTCAAGACGAAGTAAGAGTGGTAGTCATCTATTGTAAATACGTTCAATTCTCGTAAAATGTCTACTCTAAATATCCATAATTTATGTTATTCCTACTTTTCATGATACCCAAACTATACATTGTGTTTTAGGCAAAAACAACAAAAAAAAAAAAAAAAAAACACAAAACAAAAACAACATAATAATATTAGTTCTGTTTTCGCTTTCAAATACCCACATACTTTGAAAATGAGGGCTGTTACTTTTAAGTTACTTTTGATTTACTTACAACCATGCACCCGATATCTTCGATGTATTTTGACCTAATTTACGTATTGTGTCCCAATGTATGTATTTTCCCCTAATGTATCGTTCTTCGTGTCATATTGATAACAACCGAACTTGTTGATTTGTATTAATAAACTTGAATTTGAATTTAAATTTGTACTTGAAGTAGTAAATCTGAAAGAAACCAGTACCAACAGTAATCTTGCTCTGAAAAGCAAGTTTCAACATCCAAAACATACATTTTCTCGCTCGATTATAAAGCTTGCTCTCAAATTTATGAAAACAGTGTGTACTCTGCAAAGTCTCGATCACAATGCTGCGAATCGATGGGCTGGGGAGGGGAAGAAGGTGGAGGGGGGGGGGGGGGGGGTAAGGGCAGGTATTTATCTAATTATTATATTCCTCCGATATAATTGCTACAGGATCCACAATTTTATTTTAATTTCAATTCTTGTACTTTGGGTTTATTCATTTTCCTTTTCAAAATGTCATTCCTGCACTTTCCTAGAGAACATTTCCAAAGCTGTAAGTGTTTCTTGATGTATTTTTTAATAATTTATATATCACAGCTACCATATGAATATACTCTAATCGCTTAAAGATATTACAAAGTTCAAATGAACATATTAGAAGCATATGCGATTTTACAATATGTAATGATTATTGATTAGTGATGAAATTGTAAATAATAAACTCTTAATATGGTATAGCGCCCTCTCAAGACTGATATTAATTTATCTTTAAAACAATTTTTCTTAACTACCATCGACCGAATTGCTATTCCCGTTTGGAAATTATATATCACAAATGCATATTCTGAGATTTTCACGGTCGCAGCTACCATGGAATGGCCTTAGGCGCTATTTGAAATAATTGAAATTTACCGGGAGCACGGGTAAATTTTCTAGTGCTTATAAACATCCACAGGGGCATCCAAATATATCAACATTTTAAAGAATTACTATATGAATCAAACTTTCAAAATTTTCCAAAACTTTGCATTACCTTTAATTCAATATATCATATTATTACCCCAGCTGTAGCTGAGCTGCCGCAATGAGGCGCTAAATCATTCAAGGAATTTCTTCCGACTGGGTTCCTATTTACTTCACCTGGGTGGAGAGAGGCAAATGTACTTTAATGTCTTGATAAGGGACATTAATGTAGAGGCGGGACTCGAACCACGAACCATGTTCTGCAATCCGGTGACATATCCGCTAGACCACCACACCTCATGAATTCGATTATGTTATGATATCCACAACTACAATTAAGTGCCTGTCGCCATGGCGATTTTAACGCAGGTGCCTTTAGCCTTTACCCCATTCTCACTCATTCCTAGACCGATCTAGGCTAAACCGATCCAGTGGATCAGGTTCGCTTCGTTTTGTGTTCACACTCACGAGCTAGACCGCTCTTGTTGCTATAGTATAGCGCGAATGAGGGAGACCGCTCCTGTTGCTGGGGGTTGCAAAGGTCAGCGGGTCACACCTTTTGCGCGGAATTTAAAACCAAATAGAATGCCTCATCTTCTGCTATTTGTTGTTATTTTTTTTTTTATCATTCTTTCATTTTATTTTTCAGTTTTTCTTATTTTCTTATTTTTTTTCTCCGTCTTTCATCTTCTTTTCTCTCTTTGAATTTTTTTTACTTATTTATTTTCTCTTTCTGCCTTTTCTTATGTTAGTCTTTGTTTTTCCCTAATTTACTTGTTATGTTATTATTCTATCATTTTTTTCTTTCTATCTTTCGTCATGTCATTCTTTGCTTTTCCTTCTTACATTTTCTCTTTCTGTGTTTATGTTATTCTTTTTTCTACCATCTTTCATCTGCTCTTCTGTTTTTCCATTATCTATTTGCTGCAATGACGAATATCGTCATTGCCTTGTTTTTGTTCACATTCTGCCCCATTAATATTCTTCTTTTCCGTTTTTCCCTCCTTTTCGTCAGGAAATTGAATTCGTTTTGCACGTAGTGCTTGTAATCACTAGTTATGCGTTTTTTCTGATGTCCGTTTCGTCTCAAATTTCATAGGTATAATCTCTATGGTCACTACATTCTTCGATTTTCAAAATCACTCATGCATAACCGTCCAGGCGCCACTTTGTCCGTTTCTGGTCCGTTC